AGAGGAAGGAGAATCGAGCCTTGGGGCTTCAGTGTTTAGGGACGTTTCTACAATGATTTCGACGTCTCTTCTCCGGAACGCCAGGGCCAAGGTGGCGACTGTCCGTCGTTGACATGTCGGCTGCCGCGGAGCTCTGTCTCGGTCCTAACCCGAGGTATCCTATAAGATAGGGCCGTTATCATCAACGTAGGGTCTTGGGGTATATTCTAATACTTCTACTATATACTTACAATAAGGAACCCCCAAAGTCGAACCCCAAGGCTTAACCCCGAAGCCTAGATCCGAGTTCCTTAACCTTCAAATCCACATCCGAAGCTGTAGTCACCGACTCGAGTCACTGAGAAGCCTTCGAGGTGATCTCAAACCACGCTCGAACCCCCGATTGGCACCTCTTAGGGTTTAGGGCTTAAGACGCGACAGCACCCTGCAGTGCTACAGATTCGAATAACGCCTTGAGAACTACACAAGCCACTTGCGACCCTAAACCTATAAGAGCCACCCAGGAGCAGAAAAAGAACACCAAAACCCAAACCCTTCGACAAGCCTTCTAGAAGGGTTTGGTGTCTTCCTCGTAGCACGCTTTAAAGCACCTAGAACAACTCATGGCACGTTGCAGAACCCTTGTGGAACCCTTGCAACATACCAGAAAAGCTAGCATAGGGGCCTAAATAAGTACCTATACTATTTTGGGGGTTCCCTGTTATAACTTATATAACTGTAGTATAATGGGCCCCAAAACCACATTCTAATCAGTAAAGCTCCTATATTAGTCAGAAGAAAGAAGAACTCCACAGCAGGCCATCTCCAGCGATGTGGGCTTTGAAATCAGTGCTCGGTCATGGACTTCCCCGGGATTCACCCGCCCAGAAGCCATCAAGAGATCATGGTTAAGGGTTTAGGATCAGACTCGAATGAGGGTTTCGGAGGTAAGGTTTAGGAACTGGGGTTCAGGGGTAGGGTTTAGGGCTTAGTTAGGATTCTGGGGGCCCCAAACGGAGCCCCCGGGAGCACCGAACGTGAAAGCCTTGAGCCTTGAGTCTACTATGACTCGATGGCAGAGACTCTTTGGAAACTCCCCGGGCCTGTGCTGAAAAAAACCTCAAAACTTCTAGGGTTCAGGGCTTACAGGGTTTAGGATTTAGGGCTCGGGGTTTGGGGCTTAGGGTTGAGTTTACAACACTAGGGGGACTACGCGAGCTACACAAGTCCCTGGCCTCCACAGCGAGGCAGCCTTTTCCATGATCCACAATGCCTTCGGTAGCGATCACCTGTCAGAGTCGGGAACCACGTGTTGAGGTTTCCTTGCAAAGCACAGCAGTACGAAGATTGCCAAAAGTGCTGTCGTAACGATGATCACTACAAGTATTCACTTTGTGCTCAACACTGGTTCTCTTCTCATCATGAAAAACATTGGCTCGGCCGTTCTCTGAGAGATCTATCGGCACTGAGAGCTGCCCCTTCTGGGAGTCCCACCACTGTCTGGGGTCTCCGGGCTTTGTCAAAATGTCTCCAAATTGGAGACCGCTGGGAACCCATCCAATGGGGAGTTTGCTCCCCCATTGCTCTCTCTTGAGACTCTGTCTCAAGGCAGCTAGGTCTATGGCAAGCCTACGGTCCGTCGGCACTCTCGGGATGCCTTGTTTGTGTAGATGGTCATATAATGACCGGCAGTCACTCAAGCAGAGGAGCGGGGCCTTCGAAGACTCCACCTTCACAAGCTCGCCCTCCATCAACGTCTCGATGAAGGATCTCATGTACTGGGCCCCTTCCACTCCTTCTACAGAGGCCTGCGTCTCTGCACCAAAAGTGGACCTACACACCCTTTGGCCCGCTCTTGACCACCAATCGGCAATGGAAAAGTTGCCGATGCCGCCCTTCACGCTATCAAGGTCGGCGAAGAGCACCAGTGCACCAATCTGCGAAGCGACCTTGGAGTTCTGTCGCTTTGCCTTTCGCTCTTTCCGTGACCCGAAAGGCCCTTCTCTCATGAGCCCGGCCTCCTTGTCGTCCTCCGTCAACCGGAAGTAGTCCTCCTCGCACTCGTCGTCCAGGGCATTCGCCCATGCCGCATCATGGTAGACCACCACGCCGAACGAAGCAGGTAGAGGACGGTAGCGAAAGCCCTCTTCCTTGTAGGCTAAGGCTCTCGTAGAAATCTGGTTGGTGAACTTCAGGTCGCCAATCGTAGGTCGTCGTTGTAGCTGTTGAGCCAGACTCACCGAACAGGTGAGGTCCGGTCTCGTCTGCGAAGACAGCCAAGGGAGTGCCCCGATGAGGGACTGGTTATCCGCGATCTGCTCCGGGCCTGCTAGGTCCTCTTCATCGAGCCCCTTGGGGATGTCCACGGTGAACAGCCGTGTGCCAGCGTATTTGCGCTGGGTAACCAAGACTTCCTCTTGGCCGCATATGATCTCGGTGCCCACGTAGTCCAGGTGGTCCTCCTCCCACTTGTCGATGGGGAAGGTTTCCGACAGGGCAGCCTGTATGAGCTTGTTCACCACTCTCCCAGCCACGACCAATAAGTCATCGACATGGCTTCCCACATAGCCCAGCGGTTTGCCGGTGAACTTTTCTCCATCACGTCGCCTAAGCATAAAAGATGCAGGGATCCAAAGGGCACTGTTCAAACGCGTAGGTGTCCCCGAGGTACTGAATCTCGGCGCCCAGCATTCCATGTTGTAGGTCCTTCCACCACTCGTGGGGAGATGTAGCGAGGCCGAAGATGTTCTTCTTGATCCTCTCGAGTTGCCCGGGAAGGAGTCCAGGGAAGCCGGTGGCCGGCTGGTGGAGGTAAAGGTCCTCCCCTCTGGTAAGGTAGCCTCCGGTGAGGAAGGCGCACTGGATGTCGCCCGCTGCGGCCGTCCATGGATCTTCTGCTCCAAGTCCGTTTGCAAGCAACTGCATGAGGCAAGCGACGCCCGGTCGTGACAGCGTTGGGAAATCAGTGTCCAAGGCCTCGACTCCAAGATCTGGGTCGCGATGCCCCCCAATCACCAAGCGGCTTTTGCACCTCCAAGCGGGCTCTTGCTCGCCTCCACTGGCTTGTCGGGCTGCCCAGTTCTTATCACGATACGCCCACCGGCACGGCAATATGCGGGAAGCCGGAACTGATTCTCTGACGCGCTGAGACTCTTCGAGGCTCAGTGGCTCCAACGCATCATACGACAAATGCTCTTCCCACTGTACTTTCTCCGCATCCTTGAAGAGCTTCCTGGCATGCTCCGGGATCTCGCCCCACCGAAGTTCCTTTTCTTGACGTTTCGCCTGACCTCGTTGGGTGAGGGTCTTGTTGGTAAGCATCACCTCGTCGGGGTCCCGGGTGATCTCGTCCTTCCGGGTCTTCTTGCGTAGGCGTCGTAGTGGTAGAACGTGCTCGAGGGTGTCCTCCGCGTTCTCGTCCATTTCATGGTCACCTTCTCCATCAAGTACGACTCCTCGATCGGACATGTCATCGCCGTAGTCGGAGAGGTGGTCGAGGCCATCGTCCTTGCGCTTCAGGGCGTCGCGGTAGTCGTCGCCAATAGTTTGTTCTCCGCCCTCATCTTCTTCGGCATCCATGTAGGTGTCGGGATCGTCGAGGTCCATGGCAAGCAGCTTGTTGACCTCTTCACGGACGCCCTTCATGGTGAGGAACTCGGCTACCTCCTCGGGCCCTGAGCTCCTCAAATGTTCTGGCGCCGTAAGCCTGCAACGTCCGTTCCTCGAAATCCAGTAACTGCCTCCCTGCTTGCCGACCACAACTGCCGGCCCGACCCAGTGAGCTCGGCGACGGTCTTTGGGCTGGTTCCAGTAGTGCACGGGGTCCCCTATCTCGTAGACCGCCTTTGCTGTTCTCGCTCTGTGGAGTAGTCCTCGACGTAGCCGTTCATCACCTTGGGCCTGATGGAAAGCGATGCGTGCGCTCGCTCTGAGCGCCGCTGCCCTCTGGAACTTCGAGTCTTCAGTCAAGTCCCAGGTCACAACTCCTCCGTTATCGGGATCGCACAACTCCTCGGGAATCCGGGGAGACTTTCCAAGCACCCGTTGAGTGGGGCTGTGTCCACATCGCCGCTTCAGATCGTTCTTGGCCGCGCAAACCATGGTCCCGGCAATCTCGGCCTCTTCCTCCGTGACGTTCATCTCGTGGACGACGCGTTCCCATATCCCTTTGAACCATCCAATTTGGCGCTCGGTCACACCACCTTGCCACTTTGCTTGGGCGGCCACGTCCTTCATGCGGATGTTGTGCCCGTCGCATAGTCGGCCGAGTCCGGCTTGAACTTTTCCATCAAGGTCCAGGGACACATGTGGTTGGTGGGCCGAACGGTGTCAGCCAACACGTGTTGAAAGCCTTCTCTACTGAGGGCCCGTCTTCGCAGTCGAGTCGTGCAACGACTTGGTAGGTGGTGGCCCAATCGACAATCGTGAGGAAGGTGTGCCTCTTGTCCAGAGCGTCGTGGACGTAGAAAAGGTCTACCCCGACGCAGGAGTTGAAGTCCAGCAGCCTGGGCAGAGTAGTCGGCCTAGCGAGCTGAGCGTGCTTGGTGGCCTGACAGGTTTCACACCTCATCCCCTTCACGGCCTTGATCACGCTGGGCTCACAGCCCGCCAAGCGAAGATGCCTGCAGAGGTCTTCGGCCCTTGGGTGGCCGAGGTTCTGGTGAAGTCGTCGCAACGACGACCTGACGATGTTGGGCACGGTCTTCTCGAAGGTGATCCCGGATCCGTCGTACTTGGTCTCGTCCGGCTTGATTTCTTCGGGAGCCACCATACACACATCGTAGGGCCTCTCGCTTCCCTGTAGGGTCACGCTGTCCTTCTTGGAGCGGCCAAGCACGAGCCATCCATCCGCATCGCCGGCGGACTTATACTTGACGAAATCGGCGTGGTCGCTGGCCCAGGTCTGTAGATCACGTCCGCGTAGTACAACGCCTCCTCCTTCATTGAGTTGGTCTCGCACCAGCTCTTTGATCCTCTGGGCGACCTTCGCCGGCATCTCGTCGAGGTGCACTCGCAACTCTTTAGGACTGGCTCCTTTTCACGAAGTGGTACGCGTTCTCCTGCACGTCGGGCTTTTCATAGTCCGGCCAAAGGATGGGCTCGATCACCGCCTTGTTCAGCTCGGTCGCCTCGATCGTGCCCTCGTAGCCGCCGATCTCCATCATCACGATCGGGTCGTACTCGGGGACTGGGTCCTGTACTTCATTGAGGAAAGTCCCGGCGGCGGCGAGAAACGTTGCCATGAGCACGCTCAGCTTCCCTGCTGCATTCATGATACTCTTGCGCTCGCTCTTTGCGGGTTTTGGTCTCGGTCCTCTCGATTCCCGCGGGGCCTTTGGCAACGGAAACCCACAGCCTCGAAGGAACTTTCTGATCTCTCCTCCGACCTCCTTGATGCCCCGCACGGTGTGGTAGGTCAGGCACCAGCGATCTCCGTCCCAAGCTCCGGTGGAATGGCGCAGGAAGGGATCGAAGGACAACGGCTTCTCCTTGGTGGAGTGGTACTTGCCCGGGACCCAATTCCCAGGTCGATCTTTACGCCACACGAGGCCGTTACTGTTGGCGGCATTCTCATCGATTCATCGATGTCCTCCTCCAACCAAAGATCTCCTCCAGCTCGCTGCCCGAACGTCACCGTGTGGTTGAGGGCCCCTCGGAGATTATTGGAGTCTCGGTGGGTGTCACAGGACACGTTCCGGGTCACCGATATTGAAGTCACGTAGCTTTCTCGCCGAAGCACTTCTTGCCAAAGTCGTTGAGGAAATGGACAACCGCATCGTGGTCCTTGGTGCAGCGGGTGATTCCACTCACTCCCCCGTGGGTATACATCCCTTGGGTCTCGTAGACTTGCTCTCCGCCGCCTTCCTTTGTGTGCTGTATTGGCCGTATAGGGGATTGACTCCGTTGCCGACCAGGGTGTTCTCGAGGAGGCGCTGGCAGTTCTGTAGGAGGTGTCGGCCCAATTGAAAGAAGAGTCGCCATAGCGTAGCTGTCGTAGGCCGCGCGCTCCATCACGGGGCGCGCCGTAGTCGTAGTGCTCGTGGTGCTTGTTGTCGTAGGCCTCCGCAGCTAGGGGTCCGCACACTCCTCCACCTTTGTTGTCGGGAACGGCATTGGTGTTGTAGCCCAGAGCCTTGTTCCGGTATCCCCTGACGTAGTCGCTCTCTGCAATACAGTCTTGCTCACGAACAGCTCCACAACAGCAGACTTCCCGATCTCCTCGGTGGCGACTGACGTCGCCGCGTGGGTCACTCAGGCCCACATCGAATTTCACGGACTTGAGCTTCTCGCCTTGTCCTTCAACAGCGCCAGCTTCGTCTCGAGGGCCTGGATCTCGTCGAGGACGTCCTGGTCCGGCTGGGAGTCCATGATCTTCTTGTCCTTGCCGATGAGGTCCTTGCTGGGGCGCTTGGGCGTAGCTTTCGTGTTCCCTTTGCCCGTGTACCCCTTGGTCGGGGTGAGGCTCACTTCGTCCCAAGACCCCTTCGATGAGGTCGCTGCCCGCTGGCTCCACTTGGAGTCCTCCGCCTCGCTGTCCTCGTCGTAGATCTTCACCTTGTTCGACTTGGAGTGTTGGTGCTCCTGCCACCAGCGGGCGTACATCACGAGCTCCGGCGACGAGTTCTCCGAGCGGGCGGTCTCCGCCACTGCCCAGCTCCCGTAGGAGTCCGGGATGTCCCGGAACAGGCTTCCCTTCCATCGGCCGATGGTCATGATGGTATCTCCGGTCGAACTCACCGTAGACCTCACAAGACGAAGTAGGTTCCCCTTCGTCACCCTGTCCGGCACCATCACGCCCATCTCGGCGGCCTTCTTGCTCAGGTCGGCGAGGCAAAGCGAGCTCAGCCCCTTCATCTGGTCCGCAGCCGTCTTCTCCCCGTAGGTCGAAACATGGTCTCGGATCGTCGCCCTCAGCTCTATCACCGTCCACGTAGGATGCACGACCGCCCCCACACGTTGAGCTTCTTGCAGCAACTGGGCCTTGGTCATCCGGCTGATCGGCGTCTCCTTGGCGCGGCATTCCGCGGAGTCCATGCCCTTGACCGGGTACACAGAGGTTGGGACCAGGGGGCGCAACTTTGTAGAACACAGTTCTGCCGATCCAAAGCAACGGGAATGTGGTTTGATCAACTTGGCCATGCTCCCATTGATCTACCGTGGACTCTATCCATGCCCCAGTCTTGCAACACACGCACTCTGTCATGCGAACTGCGCCGATTGTGGAGACGAGCATATCCCTGAGGACCGTAGAACCCGTACGCCAGGTTGAGGGATTAAACATTGCCCTTCGAGGAACCATATGCACCCTGACCCACATATTCTGCGTCTCTAACCAGAAGTCCCGATCAAGATTGCACTTCTCCCACCACACGAGAAAAGTATCACGTTGAAGACGATCTTGGCTCAGCATGTCACGGGTGCTGGGGTCGAGTTTCTTGTCGTAGAAGATACCAGAGTACTTCGGGATTTGGGGTGCTTGATGGGCTACTGCAAGGACGGACATGTATTGCTCAGCCTGCTGGAGTCGTAGGTCCTCGATCTGTATTTCGCCGGGCATCAAATTGACAGGGACGATCGGGATAGCCGGGTGTCCAGATGAGGTAGTCGTCAACAAGTAGTCGTAGAGTTTGATTGCCCGAAAATCGGCCTTCCCATTCTGGACGTCATAGATCATGCCCAGCTTTCCTAGCACGGTCTTGCTCAAGAGGAGCGGGATGTCCCCGGTGATGATTGAGGTCCGGACCTGGATGTTGTAGCCGCCCAGCCTGAAAGCCGCGATCACGTAGAACGAGGAGTAGTGGACCTTGCCCGTGCCGAACCTGTAAGCCTCGCACTCCTTCATCAAGGTGGGCTTCTGGCCGATCTCGGCCAAGAGGTTCGCGTAGGACTGCAACCACTGGGTCCCCGCCACCGTTCGGGCACACGCCGTGTCCGCCACCCCGAGGAGCTTGCTGGGGATGTGCTTCAGGGTGTAGACGTCGGCAGGGAGCACCGTAGTCATTGCCACATTAGCGCTGCCGTCGCTCTTCGGCTGGGCGCCCGGCTTATTGTTCAAAGGACAGGCGTCGTCCTTGTGCCAGTGCCCCTTTCGTCCACACCCTCCGCAGAAGCTCCTCGCCTTCATAGCTTTCAGCTTGGCCTCGCGATCCGAATCCCTGGTCTCACCAGGCTTGCGCTCATCGCCCGGCCCGTCGGGCTTGCCTCCCCTTTCTCCGCCACTCGTGGTTCCACGGCCCCGTTGCTGGGCCCTGTAGCGCTCTTTGGCCGACTGGCAAGTCATGAACGCCTCGGCCACGTCCTCCGGTATTCCATCCTCGCCGTCAAAAGGGTCCTCGCCGTCGGTGTCGTAGTCGTGGTCCGTCATGTGGGCGAAGTTCGTCCGACGCGGCCTGGCATTCCCAGCTTCCCAGGGTTTGCGTTGCCCTCTATCATGGAGCACTGCTGCATGCTGCAAGTGGTGAAGGCTGTATCTGTTCCCGACACTCGCTAGCAGATTCAATTCTTGTGGCTCATCCAACTGCAATCTGTCCAGGTACAACCATGCAGCGCACTCCTCCGGGAGAGAGCAGCCGACCTCCCTCAGGCGACCGTGGAGTCGATCGTACTCGGTGTTATACTCCCGGATGGTCTGACCTGGTCGTCGGCGAAGCTTGCGGAAGAAGTCTGAAAAGGCACGTCCTATGCGGGCGACTTCAAGGTCTAGGAAACGAGCTGCAACCCAACTTGTGAAGTACTGCAGGCCTTCACCTGAACTGAGTCTCGGCACCGACAGTTCTTCTGCAGCAATCCAAGCTTTTCCACCAAGGTGTTGGTAGAGAACTAACCCCAACTGGTTTGCAGGCAACCTCGTTATTCTCTTCCAAACTTCGATCTGCCGCAAATAAGAGCGTGCTGAATTGCCGAGGTCTTCGGTGTCCTCTGCCGTGAACGTGGGGACCGTCACCTTCTCGGTCGGCCTGGGCCCCGCAACTTGCTCCCCGTAGCCGTGCCATCCACTCCAACCAGTCTGGGATCCATCATCATAGGCTCGGCTGTCTGACCACCCAGGATCAGAGCTCGGCGGGTGGCCGTCGTTCCAACGGTGGAGAGCCCCGCTTTCGTTCCACCGGGTGAGATCTCCGTGTTCTCGTAGTCTCGCGTTCGGGTCCCATCCGTCTGTCCACAGCACGGGTTGATGCGGTCCTGAATCATAGCCACGATGGTGGTGGTCTCTACCATCCGCCCAGGGAGTTCCTTGACGGTGTCCTCCGGTATCGGGTCCTCGATGCCAGCGGTCTCGACCATCTGCCCGGGGACCGTCGTGATATCCTCCCTGATCGTATCCTCGATGGTCGTCGCGATGGCCGCCGCCCCAGCGACCCCAATCGCGGCCACCGCGCTGGGACCTCCTTCCCCAGCCGTCGTCGCTGACGGTGGGCGCCGTCGTGGCGCTCCACCCAGAGTTCCACTGGGCATCTTGGCTGCCCTTGTGCCACGGATCTCTTCCATCTTGCCAAGGGTCGCTGCCATCCGCTCTCGGAGCCGTAGCGCCATGATCACCGTGTGACACTGGTCCGCCATTCCCCGGCGGGGTAGTGTCTTTCCCGCTTGGCCACTCTCGCTGAGTGGCACTTCCCTCGTGGCGCCCGTCATCGGCACCTTTCACATCTCTGTCAGAAAACGTGTGGCTAGGATCACCACTTCCCTCGCCGGACTTGGGGTCCTTGTCGGACTCCGGCTTCTCACTTCCCCCAAAGGTAGGTGTTGGCGGCATCGCCACAGGTGGCTCGGTCGAGCCCACGTCTTCGAAGCCCGGAGGCGGGCCAACAGCACGATCAGCCATGCGACTAGGTCCTACTGGAGCACACGGGCTCCGCTACCAATTTACAACACTAGGGGGACTACGCGAGCTACACAAGTCCCTGGCCTCCACAGCGAGGCAGCCTTTTCCATGATCCACAATGATTTCGGTAGCGATCACCTGTCAGAGTCGGGAACCACGTGTTGAGGTTTCCTTGCAAAGCACAGCAGTACGAAGATTGCCAAAAGTGCTGTCGTAACGATGATCACTACAAGTATTCACTTTGTGCTCAACATTTAGGGTGTCATCCGAACGTCTAGGGTTCAGGGATCAGGCTTTAGAATTTAGGGCTCGGGGTTTAGGGTGTAGGGTCTCATGGAAGGCCGCCGATAACGCTTAGGTCGGTTAGGACCGCAGAGTTTTCCGAAGGATTCCAGAAAGTCTTGTCGAAGAGTGGGATACACTGTGCTATACATGGCGCCGTACATCTTTAAGGATTGCTTCCCCAGTGGCACGTCAACAAGAAGGGTACCCTTTTCCCTACTATGTGCAGGTTTTAATCTGGGCACCCCGAAAGAAAAGGGCGAAAGAGTCCTACTGGGAACCTGCAGCCTATAGTCCATCGGCCTTGCTGAAGATGGGGTATGGATAAGGCATAAAGGGGGCGGACGAGGGCTACGAGGGCTCTCCAGGATTACTTCTTCTGTCCAAGCCGCGGAGCAGCGACACACAGGAAGCTTCCAACAAATTTCCCTTACTTTTTGCAAGGTTGCAAGGGTTCACGCGAGCACACAGGCAGACAAAGAAGATGCCACTACGCTTCACAACCCTAAACCCTAAACGTTCCCCAAACTCAACTAAACCCTAAACTTTTGCGACAAAAATCACAAGGGAACTGCAGGCTGCCAGAGCCATAAGGACGTGCGGATGCAAGGGGACTGCAGTCAAGACCGCACGGACTGCAGGGGACTCCAGACTGCAGCAACCATGGTAGCAAAAGACCCCTTTGGGACTGCACCGGTTAAGGGTTTAGGGCTTAGGGCTGCGCTCTGCAAACTGAAGGGCACATGGAAAGAAGCATTGAGGAATGGGAAGCTTAGTGACAAATACCCCCCCTCTAATATTGAATCGCTTCTCGGCGGACCCACACACTCAATTGCGGGTGGAGAGGGGCTCCAATATTGGGAGCAAAAGCTAGCATCGCAGCGGTCAAAATCATGTTTCACATGTGGCTTCCGTTTAAGCGCCCCTGGCATCCAGTTGCTGCAGGGTCTTGTGCGAGTTGCTCTGCATACAGATTCATGCGAATTGCTTTGCAGATTAGGAGTAGCTGCAGTGTGTTCCTATCGGGCTTCAGATAGCTGAGAGGTGTTCAATGCGAGAAATCACTCTAAAGCACATAGCAGAATATCAGTTCGCGGAACAGCCCGTGGCATGAGCAGTTGTAAACCAAACAGGGCCCAATGCCGTTTGCTCGAGCGTGCACCCTCAGTACTTTAAACAGTTCCACGGACGTGGATCAACGACGCTCTCGAAAATCACGGCGTAACCCGTCGAAAGGTTCCAGGGTCTGTTGTCACCTTCAAAACATGTAGAAAGCAAGGATGATTCGAGCATTCTAGAAAGACTCAACTGCTAGTGTATGTGCGAGTGCGAAGGTCTGTGTCTGAGTGTGTGTGCGTGTGGTCATGTGTGCAAAAACCTGTAAACCACGACAATTGAGCGCAAGAACATGCATGGGCAGCGTTGCTACATTTTCTTCCAACAGTGGCAACAACTGACAACAAGTAATTGTAGCAAGCAGTTGGGAACATTAACAGCAGCGAGAATAGCAGCATTGGTCTCACGAGCGAGGTTATTGCACAACACAGTACTGCGCTAAGCGCTGAACCTTAAACCAGCAACACTAAACGAGCTCCGACAATGAGATTTAAGCCTCGTGGTTTCGGGGTTCCGGCTCCCAATCCCCTTTTTATCAACAAGCCCCTTTGTAACCGTTCAGGGCTAAGGGACGGGCTTGGGATTTGGGGTTAAGAGCTTGGGAAAACGGAATCATCCAATAAAGGGGCCTCAATAATTAGAATAGGGTTCTGGGGCCCATTATACGAAACTTATAATAAGGAACCCCCAAACAGTATTGGTAATGAATTTGGCCCTTAATTCATGCTGTTTTCTCAGCCTGGGAGAAAGCGCATCTGCCACCTTCCGGGAAATGCAGGGTTTAGGGTTTCAGGGCTTCGGGTTTCAGGGCTCAGGTTTTGGGTTTAGGGTTTATGGCTTAAGGTTTTAGGGCTAACGTTTAGGGTTTAGGGTTTTAGGGCTCAGGTTTGAAGCTTAGGAGCAACCTCCTTCACGCGACTTGGAACTCCAAGGCCATGAGAAGTCAGACTTTCAGACCCTGCAACGGCGTCCGAACCCCAAATCTTCGTCCCTCCTGAGGCCAGCCACAGGACATGATAGGGTTGAATTGATACGGTGTATGGGTTTAGGGGTTTTAGGGTTTAGGATAATTCATGGAGGAGACATTCTATAGCCTCATAGAGGCCATCTTGCTTGAGTAACAATGCTAATGGCGTTGCTGATAATGACGCTGGCGATGATGGTCTTGATCATGGAGATGCTAAATTGCGCCATGGTGGTGACGACGATGGTGATTACGAAGATTAGGTTGAGAATAACAATTGGAGTCATACCAAGAATTACAGCAATTGTCATCATTATAGTAACAAATATAATTGTACTTATAACAAGAATAGTAATATGACATAAGCCTGGAGGCCTCGACCGCAGACCCAAAACCGTAATGACATGTACGCCAAGATGAACTTAGGGATGCATGGACTCCCAGACATAGACTTGGGGATCGATAAGCACTGACTCCTAAGACGTCGCTTGATTGCGAAAAAAATCCGTGCAGAAACTGCAGCATCTACTGTCTGTTGAAACAAAGCTTAGGCCTAGAGGTTTGCACACGACGAATCATGTAGGGGCCTTAATGATTAGAATAGGGTTTTGGGTCACATGATACTATAACCATATTCAGGATCCCCAGAACAGTATCAGTCACTACTTAGGCCCCTGTACGGAGAGCTGCCACTCCCTCTCTGGAATGCTTCTGCACAGACCGGAGTCTTGTCTTGGCACGCTGTGACCTTGGCGACTGCGACGCCTTCTCTTGCAAGTGCTTGCTGCAAATTCAGGTCTTCCTGACCTCGATACAGGGCTGAGGCAAACCCAGACCCCCGGGAGGATCCAAGAAGTAGATCTCCTGATTTGGGACCCTATACTACTAAAGATACCCGACAGGAATCGCCTAAAGGGAACCCTTATATACAGATCCCTGAAAGAGGAACCCCGCCATAGCTCCCTGGCATGATCTACATTTTGGATCCTCCCGGGGGTGCTGAGAAGAAAGCCTGGGCTTGTTACGTAAGCCGCTGACTAGGAGCGCTCAGCCGGGCGACTCCGGCGCAGGGGCTGCAAGTATAGCAGGATAGGACAGCATACCAGACCGCTCGCAAATATGCTGTATTTTAGAGTAGTCTACAATCTTGAAACATATTTCACCATACAAAAGGCTGTATTAAAGTAGATAACAGTATTAACATAATATGTTCTGTTGTAGGATACCGTCCTTATCTTTCACTATGTCAGATTAATTTTGGTATGTTGCGATATGCTTTGTTGATATATATATATATATATACAGAGGACGTCGCAAGGTTACCACAAAGCCTCGGCCGGCCGAGAACCGTTTGCTGTTAGATCCAGGGGTCGGTATAAGAAGGGTTGAATATTGAAGGGGTTACTCGAACTGTGGGCTATCAGCCACCCAAACCAACTTTAACACTGAACACAGAGGAGCTAAATCAAGTTCCAAACCCTAAACCCTAAACCGTTCCCAAACCCTGATAAGGGAAAACCAAACGAACAAAGCAGCCCCACGTTGCCGTGCCCTCGCCGGAAATCTGGGCAATTTAGAAAATCAGACGCTTCCTTGAGCCTCGGTTGGAGATTCGAAAGAAAGGAGCTTAGTGTATTCTCACTGACGGTATTCTTGAAAAATGTACTTACTGGTGCGGTTTGGGGTTTAAGGGCACTTTGGGCATGAAAGGTTTTTAGGGTTGAGAGATGCGAAGGAAAGGGGTTTAGGGTTAACATGTAGTTGGGGTTTAGGGTCTAAAGTTACTTTGGGATGTGGTTAGGGTTCAGGGTTTGGGGGCTAGGGTACTTTACCAGAAGCAGGCTTTTGGCCCTGGGGGGTTTCGGGCTTGGGCTTTAGGGTTTGGGGGGCCTTCAGGGCATGGCATTTAGGGCGTTCAGGGCTGACACCACTTCAACACGTTCTCGCCTGCAACGACTCTCGCTGCATCAACTCTAACCAGAATCTCACGTACACAATCCGGAAACCCAAACCCCGCACCTGACAAAGCTTGCAACCTAAACCATCCTAAACCCCAAACTCCAAACCCTAAACATCCTAAGGCCTAATCTAAACCTAGGCCCTAAACTCTAAACACTGATCCCTATAAACCCTAAACAACCCAAACCATCCAAGAAGCAATGGTACGACGCTTGAATTCGCGTTTAAGCCGCAGTATGCAGCTCGACTTCGAGATCAAACCTCGGGATGGAGGTCGCTTTCGGGAGCTGTCTTGAGGGGCTTAGGGGCTTGGGGGTTTAAGTGGTTTAGGGGCTAAGGGTTTGGGGGGTTAGGGTTTGAGGGTTTAGAGTGAAGGGGCTTAGGGTTTAAGGGTTTAGGGTTTAGGGGCTTAGGGTTTAAGGGTTCAGGGTGAAGGGGCTTTCCATTCCGACAAGCCTTGTTGGAGTGTTCCAAGGCTCTCTCATAACGGCTTCCAGTACATGTATATTCTCCTAGAACGCTCCGTGTTTCAGAGCGCAGCCGTTCCAGATTTGGGTTGGGCCCTGGACGGTTTGACGACAGATCTGCAACAACACCCAGACATTTTGACGAATAATCTGCTAGTTGCGGATCGTTTATGACAAAGCCTTCTTCCCTCCTCCGACCATGTTCGTAAATA